TTTATTTTTTGTATTCTTAAGGATAAGAGCGTAAAATTCGATTGGACGCTGTACTTATACACATTTTTGCTATGCATTTAATGCTGCTATATTTACATATTTTTCCCTGAAATGAATATTCACGAATAAATATATAATTACAAACTCCAAGTGTGATTGAGATCAAATAGGAAGCCAAGATGACAACGGGACAAAGGGAATGTCGCTCAAAACGGAAATTGAAGAGGCCACGTCAAACATTATCAAAGTCAAACATTATCATTTAATTGAAATAAAATGCGTATGAAGTTTGCATCCACGGAGAGTGGATGACTCTGAAAAAACCCTGATCTCTTTCCAAGATAATTATATTTTTATTTTTTACAGTTAAACATTTAGCCAATGCACCACAAAAAAGAAACTGTTTTGTGTTTCCTAATATTGGACTGCATCCTTTACCTGTTAATCAGTTAAGTTGAGACATTAAATCTTATTCCTGGATACATTCCCTCAGGGTTTTAGCAATAGCTCGCCAGTGACAAGACAGTTGTTATCTGGTTGCACCGTCGTGTTCATAAAACTGGTGAAAGCTTCACTATGAAAAAGTTGGAAAGTTTTATTTGATCGTCGGACCCTCCGATTTGTGAATATCATTCACTCATGTGAAATGGTGCATATTTTTTGCTGATATTTTTCCCTCTTATTGCTCACCATTTTTACAGTGCTCCGTATTTCGACGCACTCAATCGTCCGAATAGAGTGAAAAATGAATATCATTATATTTTATGTACCGGACTTTGTGGAAAGTGTTGACTTATGGACAGTTGGACGTTTCATGGCAACCTTTTCACTATTTTATCCCAATTTTTATTGCTCAACCAGACATAATAAATACAACCTGGATCTGCGTCCATTTATTCGGAAGGGGTTTTTGTTTGGGGAAGGAAAATATTTCTGATTTTGGTTATCTCCGGTTGCAGAATATCAGCCCAAAGTCTGCATAAAAACGTAAGCGCGTCATAAAATCTTGAGGCACTTGTACCCTCATTCAATTCAGGGAATTTACGATTCTATTTTGACTAACAAAAGAATACTCCATTATGAGATTTCACATACAGATATTTGACAGAGTTGAGTGGATTCGGCCATTCAGTCGGTTTCAGGCTCAATTTAACTGGACATTTTCAAGTGAAACGAATGCTTTTTGATCTCAATTTTCTTGCATAAAGACCACCGTAGAGGTATCAGAGGAACGTCCCCGTGCCATTATAATGTCATGTCATATGTGTATATACATATGTACATATGTAAAATACCTACCGCAACTTACAGTCTCCAGTTCCAGTTTAATCTCAAAAACGTGTACGCATATCTGACAATTTTGACGTTGCTTAATTATTTTACATTGTTGGCAACAATTATTGTAAATGCAGAGATGACGAGTCTAGTACGGTTTAAAAAATTGTGCATTTAAGTAAGTATGGTTTAGATGGCTCTGAATAAGTGGAATGTATGATGGGAAAGAGTATGTTGGATTGAATTGCGATGAACGAACTTATTCTCCAAGAAGAATAATATTCATCTTTTATGTACATAATATACATAAAATACGTATTTCCACTCAATTAAAACGCATTTTGCCACATTAATCTTTAAATTCTAAACAGTGGATACCAATAAACACTATAAAAATTACTAAACAAACTCTACAATTAAATTTTCAAAACGTTGAATAAGTTAAAAAGGTGCAAAAAAGAAACTTAGCAAAGCGTGGTTTCGATCCACGGACCTCTGGGTTATGGGCCCAGCACGCTACCACTGCGCCACTTTGCTCGATTGAAGCATATACGCTCACAAGCCCAATACAAGTAAAATAGATGATGAAATAACCAAAATGGGTTGCCTCAGCCTTTCTCTCTTCTTTTGCTCGGCTATTTAGCCATTCAGCAAAGGAAGAGAAAGCATGAAGAAACCTTTGCTTTCGGTGTATTCACGACAGGATAAAATAGTTTGCGAAATAGCTTTGCAAAATAAAAGCATGCCCATTTACTGTGTAAATTCTGGGCAAAAATCCCAAATCTAACAAGTCTATTATATTGATATGCTCAATTTGCGACAATGTATGTAAATACATATGTACCACTTCAAGTTTTAAATTTGCTTGCAATATCAATATTCGCATATTCATGTCCTCCTACGTAAAAAAATGTTGTTCTAACAAATATGCCCTATTTTGTAATAAATCATTGATTGATTTTTTTAAATGTAGAGTCGCTTGTTATCCGGCATTTGAGTGAGACGAACGTGGAATCCAATTTACCCAAGTGTGTACTGTCTCACTTTGGACAAAAACAAATCGCCTTTCACCCTTTGTCCAACCAATTGATGATTTTTACAAATGGTCAGTCCTGCCCAATTGTCAGGCAAAAGTCAGTCACCAGCAACCAACATCCACTTCATGTAACAAGCTAAGCTCATCAATCCAGTTATATTTTTTTCCCTATGAAATTCTCCACAATACGAGTGAGAATAAATAAAAATACAAAAATAAAGAGTCAAACTCCAGTCTTCACCGCCGTGGTTCAGTGGACAAGTGTCATTAATCTTGTCCCATTTGAAGAAAGGGTTCGCCTCTTGCCATCCATACGGCACACGACACACATTAATTTAAGTCGGACAACTTTACATCATTAAGTTCAATTAGGGCCGATAAACAAAGCAATGCCATCAATACTTGTTTGTCCAACTAAAGGGCAAACACTCGCTAATTTTTATTTGGACAAAGTGAATCCACTGAACTTTTTGACATCATCCCCCTCGAGATGCAAAGAATGCTCGTTCCCACCGGCATAATTTCCCTGTACAACAACACCACCAGATTTTTGGCCGTGCTAACGGGTGGTCGTTTGGTGGGGTGCATCTCATTCACACGACCAGATCCAGTGGCGGACAATGATGAGGCTAATTTACAATTCAACAAACGTTCCTTCTGTGGAGTATTTTGTGTAAAGTTGTTGAATGTAAAATGTGAAATGAATCGAAAATCATACTCGTCTCTCACCAGACGAATATCGCTATGAGTGTGTTGGGTAAATGGATTTAGGTTTGTGTGTATTGTTTCAGGTTTGAAGTGCTGATTTCAAATTCACACGATGAACTTTCAATGGAGAGGAGAACCATGAAATTGTTTTACTGGGATTGGTGTAAGGTGAAAGTGTTATGACTGACTAAAATTTATTGTAATTGGTACGTATGTAACACTTACTCTGTAATTGTGCTTACATTTTTAAATTGTGCAAACCCTCATTTATTACTGTGAGTACATATGTATTAGTTATTTCAAACAGATTCATTTCATGCCACGGTTTCCACACACTTCAATCTTGTAAGTATTCAATTTTAGTCATATGATTTATGTGATTCTTATTGTTGACTTTTATATTCAGCTTATGTGCCTATTTTTAATAATATTGGCTCAATATGTACGTGCTGGTTTTGTGTAATAGTTTTGCGTCGACATTATAATTTCTCCACCATGTTTCTCACTCCATGTTTCACCATTTCATCAATCATTTCGTTTGTCTGAATCAACTACAGATTTTATATAGTAAACTGGGGAAGTACAATTTTTAGTGTAGGAGTAAAAAATCATCTCATCTTCTTCATTGGCCCTAAGAAAGCTTAATTTATTTGTTTCAAAATTGTGGGTGACACAGGAGGCTACAAGAACGTACTACTCCTACTCTATTTGATTGATGGGACACTTTTCCCCAAACACAACAAAATACAGCAACATCATAATTGAATTATGTAGGTACATTCTCTTAGATAGTTCTTTACAGTCGCGTAATTTTGTACCATTTCTTCACCTAAAAAATAATGCTATCACGTCTAATTGGATGGTGAACTGGAATCATTTATAAAAGTAAAGGGAATTACAAGTCTCAATTCACTCAACCCCTCTGGATCTTTGACTTGCCTCTCGATCCCCGGTCTCTAACTCTGTATCTTATTCTCTTTGGTATATGGTTAGATGAGATTAGATGAGAAAGGTTCTTACACACAGTGTATATACGTATGTGCATATTCGAGTCATGATCTTTCATTGTCACGAGGATTTCCAGACACCCGGCACTTAAATCACATTACAGGAATTCTCAACTCGATTGCGACAAGAGAAAGTGTGTAGGCCTTCTCGTAAGAAATAATTCTACCATTCCAACATCAAAATGAAAGTTCATCCAAAGCGGATTGTCTTTACTCGTAGTTCTAAATATATATATACTTTATTGGTACATCTCTGCATTCAGAATTGGAGGTGACACTGGCAGAGAGTAATCTGGTAAGCCTACTATTTTGAGATGACACTCATCAAGAATCGAGGACATGATGACATTTCATAAATCTCGTTTCATTAAACTCACTCCTAATTCGTGGCATCGTTAATTCCCTTGTCGCAAGCACAAACAACCCCAATTCAACACGAGCTCATAATCGTGTCGGTCTTATATTCATATACCTGTAATTAAATCTGGCAACCCTGAATTTTAAAGTTACACATTATACCCAACGAAATTTAAATGAATACTCCAGGACTGAAATCAATTTCATCTGTCACCTCAAATTTATCTGGAATCTATTTGTTTAAATAGGGTAATAAGTCCTAATAATTACCTATGTATGTAAACACATTCGTAAATAAGGATTAAAATTTATCTCCTATTTCTGATGATAGACGGGTCAACTGCAACTTCATTTTATGATGAGCTCAATACTGCGAAGGTTCCTTATGATGAGTAATACCTGGCATGTTTTGTGTGTACATATTTATCAATGGGAAATCGACCGACAAATGTGGGAGTAAGTGTGAATAGAGAGAAACTTGGATTTGCATACATATGTAGGTATAAAATTGTGTGTGTGTACGACTGTTAAATCAATTACTGACTTATTTTTTTTGGTCTGGTCTGACCTGGATTTTATTGACAATTTTTTTATAAAATTAAATATTGAAACATACACCTAAACATTTTAAACATCAAATTTTAAACATCAAACATGAAAACATCGAGTCTTGACATATTCACTTAATCCAAATTATCCTACGCTAGAACTATGTAATTTATAGAGTAAAACATCAGTTCTTATTTACAAACTATAATTACAGCATAATCACCACATAATCACTCCTGTAAATAATTCAAGATTTATGTAAATGCAATATTTTTCCTGGACGTGTTTTACCATGTTTCTTGTAAATATTTTCATCATTCAACTTTTCAATAAAAATACAACAAACATCGATAGAGTAAACAGGGCTCGATGTTTACTATACACACGAAAAAACATTGCGTTTACTAATAAAGCATGTTACACGAGGTGACCTTTCTTCAGACTTTAAATATCGTAAAATTCTCCGTTATGGAAGATTTTAATGTTTCCATAAATCTTTTTTGGTATGATGTTCACAGGTATGTTGTTGCTCTTAATGGAATTGTTCACTTCCTTCGCGATGGGTGGAATGAGCTGCAAATCACATCGTCATTACATTAAAAAATTAAAATACCCATCTTATTTTTAGTATTTAGCATCATCCTCATACCCCTAATCCTTCAATGGTAACTTTGTTCATGGCCTTGCACAATTCGAGTATGGTCTCAAACGCAGGTTGCGTGAAGGTGTCAACATATGCCGATTGAGTGAACTGGAGTCTCAAAAGTATGGTGGCTAAAATCAGAGAAAATTTGCATACGCTCTCAATTTTTTAAAAATTCATTAGCTTACCATTAATTTTTGAAATGCACTCCAGCAGAATCAACGAATACAAGAAGCGATTAATTCCCGAAATCGTAATTTTTAGTAATTCGAGTCTCTCCAATTTGTCAAAAGCTTCGATGCGTCGTTTAAAGTTTTTGCATTTATTGACATCCGTAAAATCTGGGCAGACAATTCCGACCTCCAATTTATTCATGTTTGGAAACGTGAGCTTGATGTATTTGATCGCGTCGGGTGTCTCAGCACCCAAAATGTCGAGCGATTCGACACAATCGTGTGGACTCTGCAGTGAAGAGAGACATGAAATCACGCCAAATCGCCTTTTCGATCGAAGACAGAGATCCTTCAGCATGGGAACAGTTTCAGAGGACCATTCGTTCTCGATGGTAAATACGCCAACTTCTATGACGGTTAGAATGGTCAGGAGTGGCATTTTTGGGAGGGAGAATTTGTCATCCTGACAAGACAAAAATTTTGACATTCACATTTCGAATAAATTTGAGACAAAATTTCTAAAAAAAATGTATAACCCACTCACCGCCCCATAACTCTGTCCACCAGTTATAAAATTGCCCCCTACACCATCCATTTGAAGGACAAGCTCAACCAGCGTATCCTTCACCGCGACCAACATCCCATTCAATTTATTCATGCTAAACATGATCTCTCCCTCAGGCTTATAAGTCCCCCTGAATTTTAAGACTTGCAACATTTTGCACTCTGCCAAGGATGGCGTCTGATTTCCGGAAATTATCAAAACCAACAAATTCGGAGCTGAGTCCACCAATTTTTGCAAAACTTGGCCAAATGGAGAATTCTCTCGGGCCAAATTTACATTCAATTTCATCAAGTTCGGCCGTGATGGAAACGTGCAAAATTTATTTGGCAAAATAGCTTCCTCTGGAATTTCTGGCTCAGAGAGCGTTAATTCTGTCATATTCGGAAAATCTAAGATGCATAACGATCTCATTAACGGAACCATGGAAAAGTTTGCGTTAATGCAAACACTCAAAACTTCAGTGATCTTGTTAATTTGGGTGCAGAAACTGACAAAGTTTTTGGTCATTATATCATGCTGCATTTTCATAAGGAGATTGTTCTCAGGAATTTTACAGCTGCAAAAACTGACTTGGACCCTTTTAACGAGATTTTTATTAAATGGGGGTAAGGTTCCAGAGCGGTCGAATGGGAGCATGTGGGAGGTATTGAAGTAGGTCCTCGTGGCGAGGTGGACAGCACCAATGTTTCCCCATTGGGAACAGACAAGTCGGGCTGTCTTCAAGGTGGGGTTGTCCAACTTGGGGAAAACGAAATCGAGAATCTGCAAAATTATGAAAAAAATTGGAAATGAAATCGGCACAAATTCCATATAAAATTTTCCACTTAATATCAACATTGGGTTACCTCTGAATTCATGATAGCATCTGGTGGAGATTTTTGCTCATTGATTGCAGTATTTTTCAGTCGTGGTGAATCTGATTAAATTATGTATGCTGTAATTTTAGTGTCTACCGATTATTTTATTTTATCGGACAACTTACCTCTTTTATCGTCAATTGGCTCCTCCACGGTTTCGTCAGGTTAGAAAATCTTAAGACATTTTCGTTTCAATTAAACAAAAAACTTTCTAAATAATGACTAGTGCTTCAAGCTATTGTGCCCAATTTCTGGACAAAGTACGACTCCGATGTTATTTCTAAGCAGAACAAAACTCACAAGCGGAAGGGGAGAAAGCAAAACAGAAAATGAGCTTACATAGAGAAATCGCAAATCTAGGAGAAAGCAATAACGCTCCAGCTTCCCCTGTCAAAACCTGGGTAACCAGTTGACCTCGATTACGAATAGCTCACCACCTGCGCGTAGCTGGTTTTCACCTGTGGATTATTAGCTATGTGAATTAGTGGCTTCCTCCTCCGCACTTTCTCCCCAGGGATAACTTTCTCCCTGACAGGGGAGCACGGCAGTCAAACGATGAGGATTCAAAACGGATTTGTCTCAACACCAGAGTTCTTTCCGATCCGGATTTCTGAGTGATGAATGCCAAAATATTGCTGTGCTAGACACTGTTGTGTGCTAAATACGGAATTTTATTAGGTTAAGCAACTGCTCATGACTGAAATTGGTGTTCTTTTTATCGAGCGGAGGGGACAACGGTTTTTATATTTAAAATGTATTATGTTTACCAAATCTTGTCAAATGTAGCGAGATATTGATTTCCTTCGCATCTCTCCCTCGTCATTCGTGACATCAAAGGGTAGCAGAACCACTCAACTGCACGAGCAAAGAGTGGCACGTAATCCGAGGTGGCATTTTGTCATTGGTGGACTCATTTGACATTGCTTTCACCTTGAAGGTAATTTCATAGCAGATTTTGCCTGGAGAAAATCTCAAAGTCAAATATTTCATCGGTGTTACGTATTCATTTCCTATTTTTGGAAGCGTCGCTTTGATTACGGTAGGTACGCATTTAGTACGGCCCACGCGTACACGTTTCTGGCTTGTTTTCGTGAAAAGTGTTTTTCTGTAAAGGTCAAAAGATTTATGTATGAAGTGAGGCGGTGTATAGTTATTTTTAATAGTTAAAATGTACATGTGTATATCGCAATATTGCTGCAAAGTCTCATATTAGCAAAATCCATTGGCAATTGTACTGTCGCTTTCTCTTTCATATATAGAAGTAAATAGGCACGTCACATCGACGTGAAAATTGTCTCACTTTTCTTCAACTCAAGATTATTTATATTTAGAGCTGAAAGTCTATGCATATAACAAAATAAGCAAGGATAGAATTTCAAGTATTTAAATCCAAGGCCAGCGTGTGTAATCCTTTGTACACATCGGGTGTCATCAAGTATCTAAATATATAACACACGTCCCTTTGTCATAACAAGGTTGGCGTATTAATTAAAGGGAGACCAAAAAAATAATCCATTGACATGAGATGCACAACGGTCTAAATCGGTCGCAAAGTTTAGTTTGGTAAATATTTTATCAACAGATTTAACGAGTCCCCAAACTATTAAATTCATCCAGTATCACATTTTTTATCACTCTGGTAAATAGGTAAATTGTGCCCATGTCCACAGCCGGTCGCTACAAATGTGACATAATCATAAATAAAATGTTACGACCAGAATTATTTTTTAGGTTCATACATCCAAATTAGCTGTAAAATAGTAATATCTGTACAGTTAGCCCAATAATACCGGACCCCTCAATCAAAGTATTGCTCCGCTGTTATTTTATCTATTTATATTTACACCTATTTGTGTCACCCTGGATAACCACATGCCGACAGCTGAATGTGTATAAAACTGTTCCATAAACTGATGAGATATTACATACTTGCGTCATTGGAGAAGTAAATTATGTTCTAAATATTGAAAAAAACTACAATTGACCATTCAATCCGAATCGGGTCGGTTACAGGATGTAAATTATTAGTGCAAAAAAGGTGTAGGATTGGGTCTGGTTTTTACACAACTTTCCCGACGAAACCTTATGACACCCGTGGTGGGCACAGGGTGATGGTTGCGTCTTCAACAAAGACATTTTATTTTATATAGGGTACAAAAAATCCAGCAATACTGAATTGCGTCGTATTATATAATATTCCATTTCAATATGTGACAGATTCCCGCAATTTCATTTAATAATGAACCAGGAAAAGGTATCCAAACACGGACTGGTAATTCAAATTGTCACATAAACAACCTGGAATTCGTAGGTCAGCACAGCATTCGTAGGTCACACTTCCTTGAATTTTATGAGGACAGAATACAGGCCGCTGCAGCTATCTCCATTTTATTCAGAGAGAAATTCCAATTGTCATTAAATTTAATTCGTTTGCTGCATTTTTTTCATTCAGGCATCCAGAAAGCAAAAAAGAACTTTACCCCCGAGCAGATATAATAAACCATACTCGTTAAGTACATATGCATGCATGTAGGTATTACGGAGTAACAGCAACCAGCGACTCTCGTGACCAATGGGCGGCGAGATGCTATTTTTGCCTCTTGTACAATATCTTAGGAAGTATAATACATCATTTGGCATGCTATGATTAGAAAACATACTGTTGAGTATAGGTGGTTTTTAAATAAATACTAATCTTGCCCATAATTGCATCATTTTCAGTTCCAGCCAAAACTGTATCAACTTTTGGTGCTACGTAATACTTTGTACGCAAAATTTGAAGTCGACAGCTTGTGCTTAATGAAATTTATCATGACCAAGAAGGGACACACAGATTGACGACTCTATGAGGCCATCTTAAAGTGCCTGAAATTTTTTAAAAATCCTTTATTCATGAAAGAATTTATTTTTCTCGTTAAATCACTTCATTGAAATAATGTCAATAATTGTTTAACTCGTAGCTTACTTAAGTTACCCATTGTTTACACGAACTTCCTGTATTTTTAGCTCCAGGGTGCATATAATTAATTGTAAACCTCCTAAGCTTTAGAACAATGTAAACCTAATAAATTTCTTGCCTGGTTTATTATTCAATTGTCCCCAAATTCATGGATATGCTTCCATTGTGTGGTATTATGTATTGACCACTTCAACTCATTCCTACAACTTGCTAATTTTTTCAGTCCAAGAAGTTCTTTGGGCAGGATAAATGTAAGTAAGGAAACCTTTGTTCTTGCATTAAGATCTCGTTTACATTTTGTGATTAATTTTATTTATTTGCATAGATGAACATCCAATTTTTGGGATTCATTTTGCTGCTTTTCACTATTCGCACATTGTTAGCTGCAGAAGGAGATGAGGGGAAGGTAAACTAACTAACTTTTTATTTTTCTACATACTAAGCAAACAGGATTCGTAAATTTCTTTGTCACTTAAATATATTTCCAGATTACCTTTGAGAACTGCCGGAATAAATGCGAGAAAGGGAAGGACAGTAAATCCCTACCTCCGCACAAAGAGTATAATTTTCCCAATTGTCATGAACATTGTGACCATTTCAAAACAAACAGGGAAACATGGACTAAGAAACATCCGCCAACTATGTGCTGAAAATAAAATGTAAGATGCCGATTTCTAAATGACATCCAAACTATAATATTAAGTATATAATTAAGATGTAAAGAATTTTAGCTTTGTGGGTTTCAAGGATACGTATTGTGATTGTGGTTGACTAACAAACTTAATGCAGAAATTGATAGTCATCATTTACATATAAATATTACATATGTTACCTCGTTATGTACATGTTACGTTAATTATTCATAAAATAATCTAAGAAAGTCTCACGTAAAAAACATTATCATTCTTCGTCTCTGATTTTAATGGGAATGAAGAAGAAGGTATGATTATTTTACGATAGTTGCGCGCAACATTGTTGAGTATGTTATATTAGCAATGCTAATATAACATATGATTTATTATGCTAATTTAGCATAATAAATCATATACTTGGATATTAAATTTAAGCATGTTCCATATTTCTTGGCAGTGGTAGACAATCAAATATAAATGATTCGCTATAAATAAATCCCAATATTCTAACTTTGCTTTCTCCAAGAAATCATTTCTTCTTATCGAATCCTTAATACTACATTTTCATTCTCTTCATCACGGTCAAGGTCGAAGGTTATGATCTCCAAGTAAAATATTGCTCGGAACTAAAGGAAATTGAAACTTCTTGGCAGAAGCCTTTGAGAAAAATGCGTTGCCAAAAGCGTATATACACAAATGCGCCAGGAAAGCAGCCAAGTCAGCGAAATGTTATTGTTTCCATGTGTGCAGAAAGACAAAGAACTATTGTTCCGGTTTGAACCTGACACTCCACCAAAGTGTTAAAACGCTTACATACGTGTCACGATGTTTGCCTGACTCATTATCACTCTGTTCTAGATATATGCACATATTTATGTCATAAGTGTGTATATCTGTATTTAGTTTGCATGCTATGCTCATACCAAAGCTTAAAATTGCATCTAAATGTGTAGGATGAATCTGCTACGAACAATTTAACCTGACATTGGCAACGGAACAACACCGGAACTAGGCTTCTCATACGAAGATGACATCTCCTGTCCTGGCATAATCCAGGTCAGTTCGTTACGAGAGACAGCCTGAGACAAGACCGTCGTTTAGATTTTTATTAAAAGCTTAGGCAATCTAAGAATCCAAGACGGAGAAAATGCTCGTTGTGACATTTTTACGTCAGTAAGTTTAAAAATATATTTATTATCTTTAATCTCATTACATATTTACATAAGCAATTTTCGTGCAAAATGCATAACTGTATTAATAAATATGCATAATTCTCATGCCAAGTAATAGATAAGAATAAATATTTCAGTTATGTAACATTTGCAAAAATTCAGTACTTTGCTAATATGAAATAAGTTTATCGCCATTATCGCAAAAATATATATATTTGCATTAATTAAAGTTATTGTAATTTTATTTGCAGTGGAGAAACGACCTCAAATGTTGCGAATATTATAGAAGGTCACACCCACGGGGAGCTGACGGAACGGGGGATCATGATGGCGGAGCATTTGGGCCGTCACCTCAGAGATGAGAAGTTCACACGAATATACTCCAGCGATTTAAAACGATGTTGTGACACGACCCACATTATTTTACAACATAGTAAAAATCACCATGAGGAAGTGCTAATTCTGGACAAAACATTGAGGGAAAGAGTAAACATGCAGACTTGCACTTTTATTGAACTGATGAATTTTGAAGTACTTAAAACTGGTACTTTTTATATGTTTTTAGTTTTTTGGAGACCTGGAACTCCAACCGCGTGAAGCTATTAGAAAACTTTGTATCAAAACACGCCAAAATTATCCTCATGTAAGAATTCCTGGAGGCGAGACTTTTCAAGATGTGAAGAAAAGAGCTGGCAAATTTTTTTCGGTAAGAAAGTTCATGATTCATTCATTCAATTTCTAAGTTCAATAGTTTTTTCATGACATGCTTGGATTTTGTTTCGGACAAGTTATGACTCAAAATTAAAAATTGAAATTTGTCCATCAAGATGCTGTGCCAAATCGTTGATTCCTCTGAGGAAGGTGATGCCAGGGAGAACGTGTTAGTCGTAACGCATGCGGGATGGTTGATGTCTTTCCTGCACTACCTTATCGATAATAAACAGTCCTTGGATTTTTATTTCGACCCCAAACTGTGCAAACGACCAGCCCACAACACGGCTACAACGAAGATTATTATTTACAAGAATGAGACTGGTATGAAACGGAGAGTGAGCGTGAAACACGTCCATGACACGAAGCATCTTCCAGACAATTTACAAAATAAAATTGACAATACTCAAGAAACAAGTTCCTAAACAATTTAGTAATGTTTCGTTTAATATTAATTCAAGGGTAGCTTAAATGACAAAGATTGTCCCGACAGAAAAAGGGTTGTGAGACATATTCTTTCAAAACAATTCCGTCCCGCCATAAAAGTATTACCGATTGATATTACTGATCCTAAGTATGTATTTATAAGCATAGTTATGGAGAAAGTTTTTACATTCCAGTTATCTTAAATACTTAATGGTCAGCCCATTCGTAGTAAATAGGGCGACAATATCAAGAATAACAGTTAAATATTGTATGAAACTGGTTAAGGAATAAATCGTCATCCTTTGAAACTGAACTTGTGGGAATTCGTTAGTTTATTAATGATCATATATTGACGAGACGAACTTATCAAACAGTTTCAAGTATGAAATCATATGCAGAACTGCAATTAGTCTTCAACAAGGACAGACATGAGGTGTCATGTGAAGCTACGATTTAACATTTCGTAACCTAAATGCTTTAATGCAAATGAACACCACAATGCATATTCAATTTTCATTGAGACTGACAAATCATTAAATGTGCAAGTGACAGGAGTAAATTACCACCACTAGTATTCTCACTGTTAAGTAGTGTACCCTACAATTACATATGTACATAGTGGGGTCATAAGTTCCCGTGAATGCATTTCCGGTGATACATCCCAAAGTATTAGAGCTATCTGTTTGAAATTTTTATGGATTAACACGGTATTAATATTGTTTAGAAATCATGACTTCTTTTTCAAGATTTCGTCCAAGGGCTTTTACACAGGACATAACTCGTGACGGCCACTGCTCGATCGTTGTACGCGCCAATTTTCGTGCCAAAAGTATTTCAGACTTTTCACCGTTGGCGAAAAATTTAAAAGAAGAAATGGTCAGATATTTGTTCTACGCAAGTCTGACATCCGTTTAAGTATACGGAAGTAAATACGAAGTCGTCACCGTGGTGTGAATAAGAGCAAGTTGCCTGGAGAAAGGAAATCTCTGTTTTTTACCGCAAAGGGTAAAAGTTGAAGCCAAGAATTATTTTCAGAGTGTCTTAGAGCCAAACGTTAATAATCTGCACCCTGGACCCTCCGAAAATCAACATTGGACCTTTCAACAAAACTCAGCTCCTGCGCAAGGTCCAAAATTGTCCAAAAATGGCTTCAGACGAATTTTCATGACGTTTTTTTATCCGTAGAGCGGTGCTCAGCATCTGCAGACCTTAATCCCCTAAATTATGACTGGTGGTCAAAATTATAGGTACAAGTATGCTCTAAATCTCACCCAAGTGTGGAAGGTCTGAGGTCACACTTACTGAAGATCTGGGCGAATTTCCCATGAAATCCATGCGTGCCGCGATCGAGCAGTTTCCGTCACGACTTATGTCTTGTGTACAAGCCCGAGGAGGAAATTGTGAAAAAGAAGTTATGATTTGTAAACTAGATTAATACCTTGTTCATCCACAAAAATTTCTATCAGATAGCTTTAGTACTTTGCGATTTATCACCGGAAATGCATTCACGGGAACTTATGATCGGACTGTGTACATGCTCTCACCAAACAAGACGAACTAATTCGTCACTTGCAATTTCAATACATACCTAAAAGAAACGATGTTTTCTGATCGATTAAATTTGAACTTGTCACTTTTTGACATGTAAATTTCAAGGTTCTGAATGTGACGCTCGACGAGTAAATGTATACATATGTAGTTTACTCTTTTGTACAATATAATGGCCAAGTTTCATATGGTTTCGGCAGCTCGTTTACATTCCCTTCATTTATTATTCAAATGAGCAAATGGACAAAGAAACCCCAGTGTCATTAACATCTTATCGTTTAATGATGATGATCATGAAAAAAATGGTGGTGTAATTTCTGGTCTTCTTTTATATTGAGAGGAGAAAATTAACAATGGTACTTTTCTCGCCATTTTGAATTAATGCATACGCTATTCGCAAAACTATTGGTAATAAAAATTTGTCGAATTTATATTGTTAACTACACAGCCACCTGAAAATATAGAAATAGAGCTATCTCTTTGTCGCAACGGTGAGATCACACTTTTTCTGTTTTGACCCTGTGAAACGACAGATTATCCCAACAACTCGGCTTAATTACTCTGGGTTAGAACTGCGGGGCGCCTTTTTCTGAATCGGATTCACCACGAATGTCAAATTGCGGGTGGTTGGGAGGACGCCAGAACTGCGAATAAATTAAAATAGACGTCTCCTTTCTCTTTGTCATTCACACGTGATTTGGATTGGGTTTTTCAAACTGTGAAAGTATATTTTCTGAGCATTCTGTATGTTTTAGTGCCATACATAATTAGCTCTTTTGTTCTAATCCACCACCCTGCGGGCAGGCTTTCCTTGTGGAGTATGGATTTAGAAGAACTGGCAGTTCTGTTTTTGCGTCCCGTGGTGAAATGGACTTCAAGTCAAGTTGTATCGGGTTTAGTACACACAAAAGTAGAAAATCATGGTAAACAATCCACCGTGACCCCGATGACTCATTTAGGGAAAGTCATGACATGACCCATCATTTTCATCGAAATGAACCTTTCCTCCCAAAACAAGATCAATCCTTAGCTTAACGTTTTCCCTTTTAAGTACACACAAAGAAACGTCCACATGTTCAAATTTCCAGGTTTTAAGAAATCGAAGCTCAGGCAGTGTTCTTATTGTCTGCCGGACGGTCTAGACGTATTGGTTCAGTTTGTAAACAATTATATTTTCTCGTTATGCCTTCTCGTTTTTTGGGTTTGTTTACTAGCAGAGATTTAAACCCAGCAAAGACCGGTTTTGTTTTTGTTGACCTTTTTAGGACCCATAATCGTCCCATATAGTGAAGATCTGGAAGGCAACAAAGGACCTGTTTTTCTATTTTTTACACGAAAAGGCCTGGAGTAAGGGACCCTTATGTATTTATTCCTCCCACTCAATCCGCTTTACACATGTGGATACATATATTGATTCTGTCTGGCTGGTAGCGGATTGAAAGGGAGATATGAATTAAGCGTTCAGGTGGATTTTATATTTCTGGTGTCATTAAGTGAACACCTGCTTGGTCAGTCAGTCTTTCCAGTTTTGTAGTATTTTTGTACTCCAGTTTGATCGCTCATGTGCACTTGTACATAAGTACGAATTTTGTAATTAGTGCGATCATAATGCATGACTGCTCTTGATAGTTGTGGGACAGGTAAATAATTAATGAAGGGTGACCATGTCATAAAATATCACCGCGATCGTATGTATGTACGAAAGGGTAGTGAAAGGTGGCACCTGCATCATATTCATATGGACAGCATATGGGTGCTGGTTATTTGGGGGTGAAAGGAGAGCAATAAATGTTTTAATATTAGTTGTCTCAACTTGGTAGCAACGCAGTCTCAACTTGCCTCCGGTTTTAGATCATGCAGTTGAACTACGAACTTTCTATCTCAAAATTTCACCATGTTATAAAATTTCGAACAATTTCTCTAACTTGTAACATGCTAAAAATTAGTTTCGAATAAATTTCAATCATAATCTGAATTTAAGTATCGTATTTTGAGATACACTCTATTTCTTACCCTTATGTATTTACAGAAATATCTTCACTTTTGTAAGACAAATGCCGTGCGGGCGGAGTTATCAACAAACTAATAACTCACTGCCACCTCACATAAATACATAGGAACGGGAGAAAACACCCAGAAAAACTTGTCCATGAACTCATGCACTCTGCATTAGTCACACAACTCGTAATTCGATTATCCAAGCACTATGGATAGCAAATAATTAAAGAAAACCCAAGCCTAAAGACTCGAAGGTTGACAGAGACAAAACGAAATACCAACCGTCCATAATAAGGGACGGGCAGGTCTGCTACAAACATTTATCACAGTCAAGGACAAAATAAGAACAATGAATAGTTCGGATTTTTTCATTCGGTAAAGAATTTCTGGCAGAATTCTGGAAATTCTTGCGAGAAATCTTCACCAAGAGACGAGCTCAAGATGAAACAAGGCTCATGTCGTCTCATCAAAAATCCATTTACCACACTGCATTCGAATTAGTTATTTACACACTTGTCTCCCCGAAGAGTACTGACAAATCACGGGAGATATTTGACGAGACAAGCGTAGAGAGCGAGGGAGACAGGAAAGTGACCATTTTTTTCGGTTCACTATAAGAAATCTGGTATAAGTAGTCACGCAGGTATTGATTTCTCGATATTATAGTTGCTACCGCTTAGGATTGGTATTAAAATTACACCGGTCTGTAAAAATTTGCTACCGATAAGGTAAAACTGAAATACGGAGGTATTAATTTTCAGTGCTACCTTGATAGAGTCATATGAACACCGGTTGGATACTGGGTTTCTAAAAGTGTTGATTTAACAATTTTAAATAAATTTCTTATGAACATCCAAGCCTGAAGTAGATATAACTACAAGATGCTTTCCACATCAAAAATATGGAGTTGGATGACAAGACAAATTTAATGATAATAAAAGAAACCCAAAAAAGGATAGCTTAGATGAGACTAAGAATTGCGATAAAAAGTATTTAATAAATTTCTTCTCCAGTGAAGGACATAGAATTTTAATATTTCCAGCACCAGCGCCCCATTCATCCCCATGCTAGGTCGGACCTGTATATCATGTGTCAACTTTCTGTATAATTGCAAGGATTCATAATTTTTTAGTGACAACAACAATTAACAAATGATTTTAATATTTCTCGCTACATCATATTTGAATTTAATAGTTGTATATTTGTATTTATTTATATGATAGTGAATGAAATGGGGCGCTGATGCTGGAAATATTAAAATTCTATGTCCTTCACTGGAGAAGAAATTTATTAAATACTTTTTATCGCAATTCTTAGTCTCATCTAAGCTATCCTTTTTTGGGTTTCTTTTATTTATTAGTTTTTATTCGCATTGAAAGTAATTTATTAAGTAATGTAAGCTGCATATTGCGATCGTATTGTTCGCCCGTCCGTCTGTGGGCAGGATGTCTCCAGAACGGCTCAACATAATCTCGGTCGAGTTCGATAATAGGGTTAATGGGACCACTCCCCACAGCGCTAGAGGCTGGTCCAAAATTGAGCTTAACCTTAATTTTCATATTGGGTGTCATTTTAAAGGAAATTTCACCACGAATCCTCCAGGTCTACCACTTGACGTAAGAAACCCATGTTCAAATTTTCATTCAAGTCTTGTGTGGCTGCTTTCACGAGTTATCGAACCGATGGACGGACGGGCATAATGATATTATAAATGGGTTTCACCCTTGTATTAATAATCACTTTGCTGTGTGATTGGTGGGCCTTAGC